TTCTGTAAACAAGGGATTTTCCAAGGGAAAATCGTTGAACTCACTTTTGTGATTGAATCATCAATTCAAGCCAAACATTAATCAAATAGGAACAATTTCACTCAAAGTATACCTAGACACAGGAGAAGTTTTGTCGTGAAAGTGCTGTACAGTCGATTACGAATTTAGATTGCAGAGAGTTTGTTCTGAGCACTAAAGGCACTCACGATAGAGCACATTTTGCTTTATTCTAACATGCGCGACTGTGAGAATATGAGCTTGGCAGAAGCTCAGTAACTTGCAAAAGGCGAGAATACGAGCTTGATGGGAGCTCAGTAACTTGCGAGAGCGCTGCAAATCCGATCCGCAAGTTGTTGTGTTTTCGTCTTCTGATGGGAGACAAACAATCTCTGATTTGGGAGATTGATGCAGTTAGCTGTAGGCGTAACTGCAACTGTTAATCTGACAGAAATAAATGAAGATTAGATAGATAGACTTAAAGCCTATAGTGCGACTACTATTTCACAAGAAGATAAAGATCAATTCAGGTAAAACAACGTGCAGTGATAAAAGCAATCGTTGATCACTTTGCCATGCAAATCTCTAGAATTATCGCAGAACGCTGATGACTCAGCATTCTCTCCGCTAAATTAATGGCGTGTAGTGGTTTATGCACGTGCGAAGCGTGCAATGTACAGGCTACACTTCAACCTGGGAATCCTATAGGTCAAGTCACAAGTCCTGTTCCTATTAGAATTCTGTTAATTGATATCCCCCAATAATCACAGTACCTTTTTTATGACTCCCGCAAAACTGTTCTCAACAAATCCCTTGGAGACTGTCAACATTGGCTGCGCCTTGTCTACGGTGAGAGAGCGATCAACCCTTGCTCTCTAGCCAGGCAACGCCAGATGATCTTTGACCTGGCGCAAACCACCAGCCCAATAGCAACTTGGCCATCCAGCGCAAGTCGATAAACAGTGAGACCCTCCTATGTTTCACTCTCCCTCTGTTGACTACAGGACTAGGGAACTGCTGTCTGTCACGTAGATGGTGGCCACAGTGTTCTGGAACACTGTGCCATTGGGACACTGTGTTCCTAAATGGATATGAATTAACATAGTAATACTTTGCTATAGTATTGATAGATTGTTATAGATACAGGAGCTAATACTAATTCCCTAGCCGCCAAAGATCCTATTTCAGGAGAGAATCAAGAATTAGGGGCATTGAGGCACCCACAGCTAGTTGTAATATGTCTGACAAGGTTGGCCTCTTTGAGATCTCCAAGTGAGAACAGTTTCTATCTGCTGGAACGGAGATGTGGCATTGATGTGCCAAGAGATGGGTCATTGTCCTCCATGCCTGTCAAGATGAATGAAGCAATTTTGTTGTAGTTACTGTTGTTCCTGCACATTGGTCAAGAACAAGTATACACAGGAAAACAAATAGACCACAAAGAAACGCCCTACTAAATAGGTGAGAGGAGCAAGAGCTGAGAGGAGCAAGAGCTGAAGTTGTTGCAGTTGTTAACAAAAAGCCACAGGCAGAGATCAAACTATATACAGATGGCGGGTTGACTGCATTTGGGCTTGGTTAGTATATAGGAACCTTGAATATCTTGCTGGTGAAAGCCATAAATATTGTGAGGATGCACGGACTGGTATGATTCTCTCTTGGTACAGGATGTGCTTGATACGTATGTTTTACACTGGTCTACATGTGTTTCTTTCAGTGTTCGATCAGACTATGTCAATTTCCGGTGTAATCTGAAATAAGCAGCAAGTGGTATTATTCAATTGAGATTTCAGCCATAAATATTGTGAGGATGCACGGACTTGTATAATTCTCTCTTGGTACAGGATGTGCTTGATATGTATATTTTACACTGGTCTACATGTGTTTCTTTCAGTGTTCAATCAGACTATGTCAATTTCAGGTCTAAGCAGCAGAGAGAGTGTCTCATCAGTTCGCCCACTTTCAAACTGCTCATCATATTCTGCTATGCTTTCTGCTGGTGACCCCTGCCATATACTTTGACTCTCAATGACTTCACCAGTGAGTGCTAGACTCTTCTCCAGGATCATTGTATCTGTTTCCATATGGACGCCCTGTTGAACCCGGGATCTTGCGCGCAATGTTGTGTTGGACTCAAGACGGATTGGAACAAGCTCAAAGTTTCCTTTTGTGTTCAAGTGGCACACGATGGAAGCCATGTCAACTGCAACATAATCTCCAATGCAAACTAAATCTGGTTCGGGCATATAAGGGTCACCTCCTGCCGGATATAGGCAGCAGTTGCGACCAACAGATCCTCCAAGAGCTCTGAAATACCAGTCAATAAAAGGCGTTCCAGCGATGAAGTCAAGCGTTGAACGCCTGTGGATCTTTCGAATTTTTGTAGTGAGCTGATAAAGCTCCCAATTCTGGTTATACGACGACTCGTGCCAGTTGTACCTTCCCATTTGCCGCCTGCCCAAGAAGAACCACTTTGCACCAATTTCGACAGAGAGTCCAATAAGGATCCTTGCAAAATGGAAAACACAGAAGGTTCCAAGCATTGTCCCATATATAAGGAAAGGAGAGATTTTGTGTTCGTAGTCACGGTCTGATCTCTCCCATCCATACAGAATATCGGCAGAAACGTAAATTGTTCCAATTAGCGGCATTGAATGGAAACATGACAGAAAGGCCTCGTATCCAATGTGAAGCATTGACATCATCCAGCCAGGACAAATAAAATAGTTAGCTTGTTGCAAGTAGACAGCCCTTCCAAATGGTCGAAGAGTTGTGGAGTCGCCACTCATTTGTAGATCCGAGAGCTTGATGTCCTTGGAGTTTTGTGTAATCATGTCACTTTCTGACAAATAGTTCAATAGCACGGGCTCTCCTTCCTTTGATCCTAGCCAGGTGCTTGATGGAGGAAGATATCTTCCATGTGGGCAGACAGTGTTAGATCCCAAAACAGCATTCTTTCCTATTGTTGAACCAGGAAGGACAACTGTATTATCAGAGATGTTTGCGCCAGCGCAGAACCTCACTTTTTCGTAGGCACTGCTGCTTGCAGACAGAATCGTTGATCTTGATCCAAAGACCACATCATCGCCAATCTCCAACAAATCGTAAATTCCAGAACACAATGGTTGTGTCCCTGGCCAAAAAACACGTTTTCCGACCTTGGCTCCAAGGAGCCTATAGAAAGCACTAGTCAGGCTATAATGCCGACCAAGTAAGTCTGTCACCAACTGTACGCGTGACCGAGAAAACAGAGATCCTGCAAGCCAAACTCGCATGCGATCCCATTCTGATGATGCGTCCCTCGGGCCGGGACGAAACTTTCCAATCAAGACGCGTTTTACAAAGAGGGCAGCAATCATGTAGAGAAAGGGTGCAATTGTAGTTCTGGCGATGCGAATTGCAAGAAAGTACGGTACTCGAACTGGGTCACAAAGCCATTCTAGTAGGTCACCAAGTGTTTCGAAACTGTAGTCTCCATAGTTGTATCTGTATTGATGTGCCTTCATCATGATATAGATGATATACATCTCTGGAATATGGGAGAAGATATCAACAAAAAGCTTGATTGGTGATCCAAGGAATGTCTGGATGGCCCAACCTGGTGGTCTTACAGAATAACGGTTGCATTCTAAGTGTTGATTGCTGTTGTGGGTGATTTCGTAGCTTGATGTTGCTGGAGCAACATGTGACCTGTCGGGGACGGTAGTGAAAGGGGCTACGATAGACTGAATCCCAACACTTGCTGATGTCCCAATGCGCACAGGGCCAAGTTGCATTGCACCATTGTCAACTCCAAATCCCCGAACTGTGGAACATTCAATAGACGCATCATGCCCGATTGTGACAAGATCAAATTCCGCAATTTCAGCTTCGACGGCAATTCTTGCATCCATCGCTATGTTTGCTCCAAGCATTCTATAGAATCGGATTAAGAGGAAATTGCTTGTACCCCATATACCTCTTCCAATGATTTTTCGACACACATCCACAAACCACCATCTGAGATAGTATACACTCCAGAAAGGATAGCGACCAATTTTGTACTTCCCAATGACAGCCCACTTGATCATCACAAATAACAACGGCGTGAAGATGCTCCACAAGAGGTGGAAGATTACAATTGTTGTGACAAAGCGAATTATGTTTCGTTCCAAAGGTAGCTCCTTTAAGACCTCAAGAAGCAGCGTAAAGAAGAGAAAAACGCGAGTGAACTGCAACCAAGGGAAGACAACCAATCCTGGAACCAGTTGGAAAAGCGTTTTCAACGCGTTCTTCCTTGGAAGGAGCTTGGGGCCATCAAAATGAATGTCCTGAAGATCTGCAGGAGAATCATATACTCCAGAGGAATTGCTGTCCTTCTGGCTTCGACTCGATCTTGTTTTCAGTGACTTATTCCTAGATCTGTCTTTTTCAGATCTAATTTTCTTTGCCATGGTAACGCAGCTGTTGTGTTGGAAAATATCGGCCCCGCTGAAGGAAACTTGAAATTTTTTTCTAATTCGACTGGCAAGCTGTGATGCAAGAAGCGACGTCCCCCCAAGTCGGAAAAAGGAAGTTTCAGGTGATGGCAGATAATCATAATCAACGAGATCTTGTACAATTTCCTGTAGCATTTCCACTACAGGATCCGATTCAACTTGTGCTTGCTTCCAGGTCATTTCCAAGAAGTCAACCGAATCTTTTGCTTCTGGTACAATCTGTTCGCAAAATTCCCGTCGCAGCGTAATACCAGTGTCTTCGTGAACACATACATGCGATGGGCGTAGGTATGCATCAAGTGATTCTTTTGCAATTCTGATGATATCGTGCGGGTTCAGATGCTGAACATGAACCACAAGGGGACCATTTCGACAGGGATGTTCTGTCACCAAAAGTTGAGGTCCACCGAGAATGACACCTAAATCATTCAACAGGGTTCGTTCAATAAGGTCAATATCAATTGTTACCTGTGCGCATGATATTGGAATTGCAACGGGAGTGCCTTGAGGAGGGCATTGACCCTCAAATGTTCTTTCAATTGGTTGCATCCCATCGTTCATTTCTGGAAGTCCGAACCGTTCCCCAAGCTTGACTCTCAAGAGTTTGTTTGTGTGCGACTTTGGCAGCGCGCCCATAAATACCAAAACCTGTGGCCATTTTGCTGGTGCGAGTCGTTTTTGCAAAAAGTCGTGAAGTGTTTCCAAGTCAATTCTTCGCGAGTTCAGAGACGTGACCACCACAATACCTACCGTTTCTTGCAGAACGTCATGTTTAGTCGAGAACGCTGCACATGCTGCAACAGAAGGATGAGCCAGCACTTCTTCTTCGATCTCCATTGGACTAATGATCTCACCACCCCGATTGATCACTTCTTTTGACCTTCCAGTAATGTATAAATAACCTTCAGCGTCGAGATATCCAAGATCACCAGTATTGAACCATCCATCGTGAAACCCTTCTCCTTGAGGCCTGTCTCCGTACCCATGGAAGCACGGTCTGCCTCGCACGCAGATGCTTCCTTCTTGTCCAGGTGATAGTTTTTCGTTTCTCCCGTTGAAAATGCTAATTTGGGGTCCAACAGCTACACCAGATGTTCCAGGTTTCGTCAACTCATAGTTAAAGGGTGGAGATGATATAGGCATGCATTCAGTCATACCATAACTTGGCAAGATGTTGGCCCCTCCGAACACTCTTCGTAGCTCTTCTGCAAGTGATGGCAAAAGACCTCCAGCAGCATTTGCAATCATCCGAAGCCGTGGTTGTAAGTGTCTGCATTGATGGCGTGTTTTTGCGAGTTCTAGTGCAGCAGGCATGGCCTCAAGCAAAACTTGGTGCATGGTTGGTGCAGCATAGTACCATGAAAACTTTGTTCTGATCCCGTTTGATGAGCTGTTCTCTCCTTGCAAAAGGAGTTCCCAAAAAATTGTTGGATCGAAAGAAGGGCAGCAGATGACAGAGCCCGCACTTAATATAGGTGCAAATACTTGACGAACAATTCCACCGACGTGAAAAAGAGGCATCAGATTGCAGTTAACATCTTCAGGCGTTAGATTCCAGCTGACAGCAATGCACGCAGCTGCAATAAGCATATCTCCAAGTTTGTGGGGAACGAGTTTCTTGTTTCCAGTTGTTCCTGAGGTGAACAAGACAAGCACCTCGCACTCATGATCATTCTGTATTGTATGGTCTCGAGATACGTTTCCTTTTCTCCCAATCTGTTCTACCTGAAAGCGATGAGTTTCGAGACGGAATATTGCTGTTTCTGTAGTGCTTGGTTTTAAGCCACAAAATGGAATTTCCAGGTGTTGTGCTATATCTTGAATCACACGAGATTCCAAGCCTGTGATGCCAACAATAAGAGACGTATTTGCAGCTTGAATATCTTTCTTTAATTCCGATGGTGCACCATTCGCATTCAACGGGAGACATGACGCCCAATGCGAGATACTTAAGATGGCAAGAGCTAGCTCTGGGCCGTTTGGAAGAACCAACGCAATTCGATCTCCGCGCCCATATCCAAGTTGGTGCAATTGGGGTCCAAGTTCACTTAAAATGAAAGTGCGAACACGAGATTGAGTGAGCGGTCTCTTCTTTGTTTCTCCAATACCAAGAAGTGCTTGATGATTAGGAAAACTATCTGCAGGTAGTGCTGAACACAAGTCGGGAAATCTTGGCAATAATGCTTTTGCTACTTCATCCCCGTCGACACTACCGTTTGGTTGCAGAAGATGACGACATGCTGCTACGATGGGGGCTTCTCTTTCGTTTTCATTGGGATTTGATTCAGAGGAAATCAATGCTTCATTTGATCCAGAAAGGAGGTCGGTTGGAGCGTCCATGAAGACCATTGTTGAATTTCTTTCGCCGAGGAGGGACAAAACGGATATGAGAGAAAGTCTTTGTGAAGTCCACAGTCCGGGAATAACCGTCGGAATCGTTATATTCCAAACGTAGACGCCATGAAGATGATATAAATGCGAAGGATTTAGCTTTGGCGACAAAGTCGATTGAGTCAAAGATACTTTCGTACGGACCGGCGGGTTGCTCAGCTCACGATCTGTTGGCAACGGTGCGGTGCTATGACCGTGCGTGCGTGTTTAACGTGATGTGTTTAACGTGGATTTGGACCTATCAAAGTACTTCCACGTTAAACACACCCTTGGGTGAACGCAGTGCAGACGTCGATTGTCAAGCACCAAAACCTCACAACCATGACAATTAAACTTTACACTGGCTTAGAATTAGATTGAATTTTGTGGTCGAATGTTAATATATTATATTTTACGTAGTTGTGAGATGTTATGGGAGAAAATCGTTGCCTAGATACAACTGGAAAACCCGCTCAGCGCCATTCTTACTCCTGATGGGCAACAGGCAGTGCACAACCATTCAGCCATGATCTGTAGATTTTCGTCATATTTGATTTTCCAGGCGGGTTGTCACATTCCTCATTACTCTTCCATGTATCATCTTTGAGCGCCACTTTTAGGAAGCATGCTGGCTTGTAGGTATCAATCGTTGGAGAATTGTCGCCAAGCAATTGCTGCCGCTACCCCTGAAACCTTGTATTGCATCAGCTCCAGTCGCAAGTGCCTTCATATGCTGTGCATTTTTGGTATCTGACACAATTCGCCTGAAAGCTCCCCAGTTCTGATTTCTTTCACTCTGCTCACTTGATGACAGGCAGCGCCCATGCTGATTTGCAAGCCAACTAGAAGATGGACAAAACAACCTCATTCCATTTGCTAAAAAGAGTTTGCTTTAATCCGCTTCGTCGTCTGGAGATCTCAGACGCTCTCATTCTTTCAGTCTGCACAGCGGATGACAGCGATCACGCCGATCTTCGAAGCCAACGAGGAGCACAGAGATAGCAAAACACTATTATTCCCCTTGCGGGCAACACTGACTCCAGTAGTATCCACCTTGTTCGTCTCAGCCCCCACGGCGGTAGATTGTTGGCGAAACGTATGCTTCTTCCTCTTCTTCAGTTCCAATCTTGTCTTCTTCATCATTTGATGGCTCGGTTTTGGGTGACAAGACTCGCGAGCACTGTGGCTTCATCTCGTTGGATTACAAGAAAAACACATCACAATTGCCAACTGCCTCCGGCAGCTGTCATAATCAATCTATTCTTTGTCTCCTGTTCTCAGTTTCGTTTGTTGTTCGTTATGAAGAAGCTTGTGAAAACAAGTAGCTACTGTCTGGTGTTGAATGATTCGGTTAACGATTTTGTCGTTTCATCCATCATATTGTATATCCGGGTTCCTTTGGGGCATCTGATAATGGGCCGCGCGACCTTCGCTCCGCCAAATAGTTTTACGTGCAAGTGTTTTGATGTTGGGTGATGACAAAGGAAAAGACGTAAAACCTTGTTGTCTGAAAATTAAAATTGAATTGTGTGCGAAAATATGCACGTAAACGATCGCTAGCATCGCCAACGTTCACCAACGTTCAATTTGGCGGACTAACCGTCGTTCCGTCTGTCTGCCTGACGTTAGAACACTCCTCTCAAGCTGGAAACGCGCTAAAGCGTAACAGATTGCAAAATGGGGCGAGGACTTTGCTCAGACTTGGACAAACAGTAAAATCAAAGGTTTTCAACGAAGTACGTGGTTCGGTCAGGGTCGGAGACCTACATCCACCAGTACACAGATACATCGAATCACACATCGATCAGTATCATAGATATATCGAAAAACATATCGATCAATATCAATTAGTTATGTTCATAGACATGATGGATCAGGCGGTTCACAAACTTTCGTCGCTTTTGACCATAGGGCAGTTGCTTAGTCAATAAATCAGCGTCATTCTCATGAGTGTTGACATACGACGTCCGCCATTCGTCTTTTGCAGCTCCTTCACGGATGAAGTGATACGCAATGGACTGAGATTTCTTCTTCAATTGAGAGTCAGGGATACTTGTATTGGCCAACACCGACTTATCATCTCCATAGATAAAGGACGGGCCAAGTACAGGGATCCCCATCATCCTAAGCTTATATCGCAAGCCACGAAGATATTCACAGCATAACTTCATTGCACAGAATTCACTTCCAAAGCTGCTAGACTCAACTGCAGTCTGCTTCTTTGCCATCCAGTACACCAATGCACCATTTACCCACACAAAGAAACCAGTTCGAGAATGTCTCGTAGTTGTGTCAGAGGCATGGTCAGCATCCACTTTGGCAGTTGTAACAAATCCAATGCCTTTTGGTTCTGGCTGGTTTGGAGGCAGCTCTTCCTTCAAGTTGTTCATGTGGCCAAATTCGCTGGTTGACCAATCTGTTGGTGAAATGGGATCTTAACAAATAAAAGAACAGTCGAACATGTCGGACAGTGAAGTCGGACATTCGTGATATCGAACACGGACGGGAGTACGGTTCGAGTACTTACAGAGATGGATAAGTA